CGTCCGACGAAAATCAGACCGTTAAAAAAATCTGGGACGAGCTCGTCAAAAAGCCTCCTCCTCCTTCCCCTCCTCCTCCCCCTCCCCCTCCCCTCCCCTCCTCCCCCTCCTCCTCTCCTCCTCCTCCTCCTCCTCCTCCTCTCCTCCTCCTCCTCCTCCTCTTCCTCCTCTTCTCCTCCTCCTCTTCCTCCTCCTCCCCCCGCTCCTCCTCCCCTCCTCCTCCTCCCCCTCCTCCTCCCTCCTCCTCCTCCTCCTCCGCCTCCTCCCCCTCCTCCCTCCTCCTCCTCCTCCTCCTCCTCCTCCTCCTCCTCCTCCTCCCCTCCTCCTCCTCCTCCTCCTCCTCCTCCTCCTCCTCCTCCTCCTCCTCCTCCTCCTCCTCCTCCTCCTCCTCCTCCTCCTCCTCCTCCTCCTCCTCCTCCTCCTCCTCCTCCTCCTCCTCCTCCTCCTCCTCCTCCTCCCACTCCGCGGCGTCGTCTCTGGAAGGCCCCGAGGCCCAGGCCAGGCCTCGGGGCCGCCCAGCAGCGACGCAGGACAGAGAGAAGCGCCGGCCCCGGGGGAGTGGCCCAGGACCTCCGGGGCCCACGCGTGGACACATCGGAGCGGCTGGGTGCCTGGGGCCTGCGAAGTTGCCCATTTGCTCAAGAGAGAGAGAGAGAGAGAAAGAAAGAAAAATAATGAAAAGAGAGAGAGAGAGAGAGAGAAAAAAAAAAAAAAAAGGAAGGAGGGGACAAGGAAGGAAGAGGGACGAAGAGGAAGAAGGGAAGACTCTGAATCGACGAGCTGCGCGCGCGAAGCCAGCAAAAAGCGGATGGGATGTGAAGGGCCTCGCCTCGCCGGGCCTCGCGAGAACTCGATCCGATCACCTTCTGCCGCCAGGCGTGCCGGCACGCCTCCGGGGTGCACGCCCAGGCGCGGCGCCTGCAGCACTGCGCCAGGTAGACGCGGAACGTCAGGCGCGCGCGCGCGCATCGCTGAAGTTCCTCCGCAGCAGCAGCGCGCGCTCCAGGGCGGCTCCAGCAGCACGACCCTCGCGAGCCTGGAATGCTGGGTGGCGGGGTGGGCCAAGCCGGGTTGCCCCGCGGCGGCGGCCGCGACCCTGGTGACACTCCAGGTTGTGCTTGACGGAATCCTCGCCGGCCGAGCATCCGAAGACGCCGCACGTTGCGGTGAGGCCATCCGTTCCAGAGGGCGCGCCAGCACGCCGCGAACACACTCGGGGATACCGCCCCGGGACACGGCCCGATACGTGAACAGCGCTCTGTCAGCCGTCTCTCGCGCAGCCTCACCGCGGAGCCCGCGGCATCGCCGCGCGAACCTCCGGCGCAAGAGAGTGCGCGCAACCCCTCGGCCACGCTCGGGGCGATCAGCCCGGCGCAGGTGCGCTGCCAGAGACTTGGCTGCGCAGCGGTGCCGGCGGCCCCTACTGCTGAAGGGGCCCTGGGACACACAAATAAATACACACAAACAACAGGATTCCCCATATGTTCCCATATCTTATGTGTTTTTCGTCGCCCCCCCCACTTCCCACAGTTTCCCATATTTTCCCGGGGACCGACGACTAATCGTGTCTGTGTGTCTTGTCTTTTCCCCTCCTGAACGTATGGCCGCCGCAGCCTGCCGCGGCCGGAGACTCCGCTGCCCGAAGTGCAGCCGGGCTGCCCCCCAACTGCGGCACGGAGGCCTGCGGGCGCAGCCGACCGCCCCGACGCGGGGCTCCCGAGGCGGGGCCCCCGCGCGCACGACACGCCCGCTGGAGCAAGGGCTCGCCCGCCCGACCCGACTCGCCATCATCGCCGAAGTCATCGCCGAAGTCCTCCGAGTTGGTTTGGTCGTCGTGCTCATTCAGAGGGCAGAACATCCACCCCGATCATAACCACCCCGATACGCGAGGCAGGCCTGTAGTCAACGCGCCCAAAGAAGGCATCGAACAGGGCAGGGCCGTTTAGTAAACGCCCGGGGCGGTTTAGTAAGCGCCGATTGTCCGGTCCGGGTGGTGTTTCCCCCCTTGATCACTGGCATCCCAGGCCCCCGACGGCAATTTTTCATGACGTGGCCCCCAGGCGCCTGGACCCCCTTCCGGGGGACCGGCGTTTCAGCCTGAGCCGTTTTTGTTGACAGTCCCGCGGCCCAGCGCGGGCCCGTGGAGGCCGAGAGTCGACGAAGCCTCCCGGCGTGACTCTCTCACAGCGCGGGGAGGTCGATTGCTGCCATCGTCGTCGCCGTGGTCGTCGTCACCAGTGTCGAGCCAGGAGGCCCACAGACCCAGCCGAACGACGGGCCGAACGGCAGGCTGGGCCGCGAGCTCGGGGGCGTCCAAGAGGGGGGCGTCCACGAGGGGGGGGGGGGGGGGCGCAAATCATGGCCCGCGGCACGTGCGCGGCCCAGGGGCGGGGGGGGGCCCTGGGGACGCATTGACGTGAAATCTGGAGAGAGCTCATGGCCCCCGCCATGATACAGCCGGGGCGTTGACCTAAGGAACCCTAAATAAGGAACGAGGCCCCTGTTTCCCATAAGCTAAACTTCGATTTCCAAGGGAAGACCTCAGGAAAACCTGAGGCAGATTGTTAAACACTCAGGGAACACCGAGGCCCTCCCCAACGAAAAGGGTTCCTTCTTCAGGCCCCCGCCACGAGATCTCCCCCCCCCCGTGTCACCACCCCCCGCCGAAGGCCGCCCCCGAAGCGGAGCTTCTCGCGCCTGGGCCGCGCGGCCCCGGGCCTCCACGCACATCCCGCCCTCGGGCGCTGCCCCCGCACGGGCAGGCGCGAGCCTCCGCTGCCAGGGCCACTGAGCTGGCTGAGACTGTCTTGTTTTAACACAGCGGCTCTATTTTCTAAGCACATTGCTTTCGTCGTCGTCCTCCTCCTCCTCCTCCTCCTCCTTCTCCTCATCCTCCTCCTCGGGAGGGCGAGGGGGAGGGGAAGGACGAGGAGAACGAGGAGGTTTTTTTGCTGCAAGAGCGATGCCTGGCGGTCCTCGCCCCAGCTCGCCACATGAGAGCAGGATAGGCGGGCACTCCGCCTCGGGGTGCCATCCCGCCTCTGTCCTGATTCATGGAGGACGAGGAGGAAGAGGACGACGAGGAGGAGGAGGACAAGACGACAAGGACGTATGACATGTTCGCGGCTCCGGTCAGCGGGGTAAAAGGATGCGGATCTAGCCGCTCGTGCTCCCGCTGCTGCCTGTGCTGCTTGCCCTCCACCCTTCCCCTCAGTCTGCCAGGCCATTTACCCCGCTCACCGGAGTCCCTGAACAGTCCTATTCCCAGACACCGGACCGCTCCAACTTTTTCGATGCGTGGGACCCGGAGGTCTGGACCACTTCCCCAGGGTCGGCTTTTCGTCCTGAGTCGTTGTTTGACAATCCCGAGGCCTGGCGAGGGCCCCTCGGAGGCCGAGAATAGCCCCAAACCGGCCGCTCCGATTGTTTCTGGGAGCGTCGGATCTCTGGGCTTGCCCCGCTCACCGGAGTCCCTGAACACTCGGACTCGATGAAGGGCCGATTGCCCACCACCACTACCATAGGTTAGAAGAGGGAGGAGGAGGAGGAGGAGGAGGAGAGGAGGAGGAGGAGGAGGAGGAGGAGGAGGAGGAGGGGAGGAGGGGGAGGAGGACCTCCCCATCCTCCCTTCTCCCCCGCCCTACCTGTGGTAGCGGTGGCGGGAGAGTGGCCCATCACTCGAGAAGCGGAGGCGGGCAGGACCCCCCCGAAGCGGAGGCGCAGGCGGGGGCCGGCGGGCCTCGGCACGCGCCCGCCGCTGCGCCTCCTGCGCCAGCAGCCCCTGCAGCCGGGCGGCCTCGGGGCAGGAAGAGGGCGGGCGAAGGGGGCAGCCGGGGGCGAAGGCAAAGGGGGAGGATCGCGCGGAGGAGGAGGAGGAGGAGGAGGAGGAGGAGGAGGAGGAGGAGGAGGAGGAGGAGGAGGAGGAGGAGGAGGAGGAGGAGGAGGAGGAGGAGGAGGAGGAGGAGGAGGAGGAGGGGAGTCGGAAGGAGGAGGAGGAGGGCACATGAAGGAAGGGGAGCGAGAAGAGAAGGCAGCAGCTGAGGGCAGCGGGAAAAGAGGGGGGGGGGGGGGGGGGGGCAGCCACCGAGGGGCAGCAGGGGAGCAGCACGCGCGCGCGCGCGACCTCCTGCTGCAGGGTCCCTGCAGGTTTCCCACACCGCCTTGAGATTATGGTTAAGTCGGGCCTGTCCCTCTACAGGGGGGGTATTCAAAAGGAGTCAAAAATAATATAGGGACTATGTTTTAAATATGTTTTGACCATGTGGGTGTATTTTTTATATGTTGTATTTTTTTCGAAAATCCCCCTGCAGGGGGACACGCCCGACTGAAGATTGTGGAATGCCTGCAGGAGTGCCTCCCCGCAGAGCCGCGGGGCCGGGCCCTGGTCCTGGGCCGCGGGGGGGGGGGGGGCGGGGAGCGGGGGAAGGAGGGGACGCGGGGGAGGGGGGCGGGAGGGAGGCGGAACGGGGGGGTGAAAAGGGGGAGGCAGGGCTGAACCTAAACGATGTTTATCGTTATCGTTTTGTTTTCGTTTTCCCTCGCGTCTGTCTCGAATCCGCCTGCACAGCGAAACGACATCGAAACGAAAACGGCCCACGAAATCGCCAAAAGCACCGTTTCGGTCCAGCCCTGGGGGGAGGGAGGGGGCGGGGCGGGAGGCGGAGGCGGATGGGGTGCGGGAGCGAGAGGGGCGGGAGGGGGAGGGGAGGAGGGGGGGGGGAGGGGAGGGGGCAAGACAAGCTGGGTGCGCTCGCGTCTCGCTCCGCTCCGCGGGGCGGGATGCTCGGAAACGCTCGGGGCGTTGACGCTTGGGGGCCAGGAAGCGGATAGCACGTCGCGCCGAAACGTGGTGGGCCAGAACCGGGGCAGCGACACGCTAAGCCAAAGTTCCTGACCGTCAAACTCTTCCCTGGTCCACCTTGTCGCGGGCACGACGGCTTGTTTTGGCCCGCAGCCAGTCGTGCCACTAGGTGGCCATGATGCGTTGACACCCCAGTTTTGTGATCGATGCTCGTGGTGACTCCTGTGAGCGCCCACTGGGTGCGCGGGAGGAGGAGACGGAGGAGGAGGTGGAGGAGGAGGAAGAAGAGGAGGAGAGGGTAAGGATGATGACAAGAAGGATGAGGAGGCAGAGGACGATGTCGCCGAGGAAGAGCAGGACGAGGAATCGAAGAGGAGGAGGTACAACTATACGCAGCAAGACGAGACCGTTCCTAGCGGGGAGGCCTCTGCGCCTGAGCTCGGTAGGAGCGCTTGCGTCTGAGCCCGGCGGAAGGGGGAGATTACAGTAAGGCCACTCCGATCGGAAAAGCCTTGCCAGAGGAGAGCGTCGGATAGGAGAGGGAATGGGCCTGGACAAGATTCGGCACAAGCTTCTCACTGGCCCTTGCTCTGCGTGAGCTCGCGCATGAGCTCATCCTTGATCCTCTGCCTCATCTCTTCCTCGGTCTCTTGACGCGCTGCGACCGTCGTCGTCTCAATGCGCATCTCCTCCATGAGCTGCTTCCGGATCCTTTGCTCGATCTCCTCGCGCGTCTCCTGCTTCGGCTCCTCGAACGAGCTCATCCCCTCGTCATGGCCGTCATTGTCAACCATTGGGGCTTCTTCGTCCACGACTTCACCATCCTGTGCAAGTTCTGTGGAGGCGTTGGCAGCGATCTCCGGCGTGGCTTCGCCAACAATGTCACCATCCTGCGCCACCTCCGTGGAGACATTGGCAGCCTCCGTAGTGCCGGTGGCAGCCTCCTCGGGCTCAGTGGCACTGGCCACCGCCTCGGGCTCGGCGGCCGCCGCCTCGGGCTCGGCGGCCGCCGCCTCGGGCTCGGCGGCCGCCGCCTCGGGCTCGGCGGCCGCCGCCTCGGGCTCGGTGGCATTGGCCACCTCCGCGGTCTCGTTCGAGGTGGGCTCAAGCACGGCGGGCTCGGCGGCACTGGCAGCAGTGATCTCCTCGTCCGCGGCGGCTGGCTCGAGCTCGGCGGCGGTGGTCGACGGCATCCCTGTGACATCCTGGCTGTCGTCGTCGACCTCCGGCAGGGGCTGCTGCTCAATCGGCAGCGTGGTTGTCGGCTCGTACTGGCGCTTCTGGAACGTCGTGGTGGGCTGCCAGTCCCCGTGGACGATCCTGGCCACCTTCCCGTCCCACTTGCCGCTGAAGAAGTCGCCCAGCTCCTTCACGCTCATGTCTTCGACCCTCTTCTGCACGCGGAGATCCTCGGGGAGGAGAGAGGGAGGAAGGGCAGTGGAGGAGGGAGAGGAGGATGAGGATGAGGAGGACAAGCCTGTCCTCCTCATCCTCGTCGTCCTCCCCCTCGCTCCTCCAATGCTCCAGGGAGGACAGCTCCCACTTCTCCCTAAGGAGGAGCGGGAGCAAGAGGAGGAGCAGCACCAAGAGATCCTCCGGGCGGCTGAAGGCGCTGATGTCCACCTGCTCTGAGGGGCAGGGCTACTTCCTCCACCCCCCGGCACAGGCGACACGTCATCCTCCTACATTACTTCCTCCTCTTCCAAGTCACTTCAAGAGGACAAGAGGAAGCATCAGGACCTAATGATCCAGGGCCTCCTCCGCATCCTCCTCCTCCTCATCCTCGACACCTCCTCCTCCTCCTCATCATCCTCCTCATCCTCCACATCCTCCTGCCTCAGAAGCCCTCCTTATCCTCTCCTCCTCCTCCTCCTCCACCTCTCCTCCGTATCCCCCTCCTCATCGTCCTCGTCTCCTTCCTCGCCCTTCACCAACTCGAACTCATGTTCCTCCTCCCTCTCCTGCTTCTCCTCCTCCTCTCTGTATTCTCCTCCTCCTCCTCCTCCTTCTTCTCCTCCCAGTATTCTCCCTTCTCTTTCTCCTCCTCGTTCTGCCTCCCAACCCAACTCCACGTCCTCCTCCTGATCATGACCCCATCCTCCTCCACCACCAGAACTGCCTCAATTCCTCCTCTCCTCACCCTGCCCTACTCATTCTCATCCACCGCCTCATCCTCCTCCTTGTCTTTTTCTCATGCAACGCCGCGTCTGCCTCCTAATCCCCTCCTCGCCCTCCTCCCATTCCTCCTCCATGCTGCTGCTCATCCTCGTTGTCCTCCCCCTCCTCTCACCACCCTCATCTATTTCCACTGATCCCTCCTCCTCCTCCTCCTCCTCCTCCTCCTCCTCCTCCTCCTCCTCCTCCTCTTCCACACGCCTCCACTTCCTTACTCATCCTGATCATCTTCTCCGCATCGATTCCTCCTCCTCCTCTTCCTCCTCCTCCCCCTCCTCCTCCGCCTCCTCCTCCTCCTTCCCCTCCTCATCCTCCGCCTCATCCTCCGCCTCCCCCTCCATATCATCCTCTTCTTCCGCTTATCCCCCTCCGCCTCATTCTGATCGTGCTGCTGCCCCCCTCCATCCCTGTGCCTAGTGATCAGCTCTCCCTGCATCACGCTATCATGTGTCGGTCGGGCCAGGCGTTTCGCCTGAGACGTCCCCACCATGCATGTTCCTGCAGCTTGAAATTCGCGACAGCTGCAGTGATGGAGGGGTGGGCCTCTAAATGGGGTACTCGCCTGAGCGCCGCCCACGTCCGTCTTGAAGGCTTACATCAGTTACGCGAACGGATAGGGCCATTTCCAAATGGAGCTCTCGCCTCAGCGCCGCGCAAGGTCGTCTTAGCTTACCCTGGCGGCGCGCCCAACCCATGTTGTCAAGGACCCATGTTGTACAAACGATGGCATGGCAAAGCACTCGATGTGGCGTGACCCAACCATGGCAGGCGTGACCAGCGCAAGACTTGTGGATGCCATGGCAATGGACACTCTAACAATCCGATCATTGTATTCAAAATGTGTTTAACAAGTGTAAAACATGTTCTAACAACAAAACGTGTCAAACATGTTGTCAATATTTAAAACTTGATTCAAACATGGTCTAGACATCTGGAAATTATTTTGCAGCATGCTCCCTGTCCATTAATCGACTTCCACAACGCAAGACCCATATAACAAAATTGGAGCAAAGCAACACCGCACAACACCGGACGGCAAGGACAGGACGGAAAGACGACGATGACCAAGATAATGGATGAGGGATGAGGATATGGGAACACATGAGCGACGACCGAAAAAGGGTCTTACGCGAGATGTCTCAGCGACCTGGCGCGGCGGCTTACGCGGGCCGCCAGCGCGGCACGCCACATTGGAGGCGAGGGCGCTTACGCGCGACCTTACGCGGGGAGCTTACGCGCCAACGTTTTCTAGTTCGCGCGCGCGGGGCCACCCCTGGGGGTGCCCGGCCGAAAAGTATCCCGGCAAGGTCCCGGCAAGTCCGCCTCAGAGATGGTTTTGCTCCTGGGCGCCGCCTTCAAGGCCTCCCAGAAAGACTCAAGAAGGGCCAAGATGCCCCGAAGAGATCGCCAAGATAATCTCAGAGGGCTCGGGCTCCGAGACGCCACAAGATCGCCCAAGCCAGCTCAAGAAGCCTGCCAGACGCCCCGAAAAGCCTTCAGAAGTTTTCCCACTACGGCCCCAGGAAGTAAAAAACACCCATCGACATGTTATGTTTAGGTGACTGTCTTGTTCTCGCATTTTCAGCCACTCGACGCTTCTAGAGTGGCCAAGAAGCCCACAGTCTCGCCCCTAGACGGCCCAAGAGGCCTCTGAGAACGCCCCGACACGGCCCAACAGGCCTCCAAGAGAGCCCCAAAACGGCCCCAGAGGGTTCCAAGACAGCCCGAGAGGCCTGCAAGACGGCCTCAGAAGCCCCCAAAACGGCTCAAGAGCGGGCCTTGACGGGGGACCCGTACGGACATTTCAAGATCTCGGCCTCGAGGGGTCCCCAGGAGGCCCCAAGAGGCCCCCAAGAGGCCTACAAGAGGCCCCAAGAGGCCCCCAAGAGGCCAGTGATACAAGATGGGCCGGCGGAACGAATGAGCGAAGCAACTAGAGAAGAAGGCAGGAGCGTGAAATAATACACGAGGATGGCAGGTGGTGATGGCTAAATCGGGGAAAAGGGCTGGAGGCGAGGAGGAGACGGGGAAGGGAGGAAGGGCTCGCCACGTCACTCTGGCGGCCGCAGAACGCAAATATACTTCGTGAGCCGAGGGAGGCCGAGCTCCCGCGCGGGAATCCAAATGTCCGCAGGCGCCCCTCGGGGTCCGCGAGCGGCCTGCGGGACTGAACTCCAGCCCCAGGTCGCGCATCATCAGCTAATCTGCGTAAGGTGTCACTCCGCTGGACACCCCAGCAGCCCTTGAACATGTCCACGGTTTCCCAGTTCGCAGCCCCCCGTGGACGGCGAGGTCCAGTCTGAATGTGCGTAAGACGTCATTCCACTGGACCCCAGATTCCTTCGTAGTTTGCAAGCCCCCAAGGGATGAGGTCTATTCTGGAACTGCGTAAGGCGCCACGTCGCTGGACCCACCTGGCAGCCCTCGAAAATGTTTACGGTTTTGCAGTTCGGAGCCCCCCGAAGGATGGTGAGGTCTAGTTTGATTGTGCGTAAGACGGCGTCACTCCGCCAGACACTTCAACAGCTCTCGAAAGCGGCGACAGTTTCCCACTTCGCAGCCCCCAAGGGATGGCGAGGTCGAGTCCGAAAGCGCGTAGGAAGTTATTTCGCTGGACTCTCCAGCAGCCCTCGAACAAGTCCAAAGTTTCCCAGTGCGCAGCCCCCAAGGGATGGCGAGGTCTAGTCTGGATCTGTGTAAGGCGTCATGTCGCTAGACTCCCCAGCAGCCCTCGACCATGTCCACAGTTTTCCAATTCACAGCCCCCCGAGGAAGGCGAGGTCGAGTCTGAATGCGCGTAAGACGTCATGCTGCTGGACCACCCAGCAGCCGTCGAACATGTCGACCAGTTCCTAGTTCGAAGCCCCCGAGGGATGGCGAGGTCTGGTCTGAATGTGCGTAAGGCGTCATGTCGCTGGACCCCCCAGCAGCCCTCGAACATGTCCACATGTTCCCAGTTTGCAGACCCCCGTGGACAGCGAGGTCTAGTCTGAATGTGCGTAAGACGTCATGCCGCTGGACCCCCAGCAGCCGTCGAAAGCGGCGGCAGTTTCCCGGTTCGCGGCCCAGCAGGGATTGCGAGGTCTGGTCTGAATGTGCGGAGAACGTCACTCCGCTGTACCCCTCAGGAGCCCTCGAAAAGAGGGCAACATTTTCGCCGTTCGCAGTCCCCAAGGGATGGTGAGGACCAGCCTCGATGTGCACAAAGCGTCACCCCACTCGACATCCCAGGAAGCCGCGAACGTGGCGACTGTTACGCAGTTGGCAGCCCGCGTGGTAGAAAAAACGCAGCTGTGAGGCAGGAGGAGGGAGGGGGCGGGAGGGCGGGAGGAAGGAAGCGCGAGCAATGCTCTATTCAAAACGAGAACCCAACTCGGGTTCGGAATAAAACGAAGCCACCCCCCCATGGGGAGGAAGACGAGGAGGAGAAGAAGGAGAAGGATAATAGAGACCAGCAGTGCCCCATTCAAAACAAGAGCCCAGCACAAGCGAGTCGCGAAACACTTGTGCAGGGATGAGTGAGATCGTGATGAAGCCTGAGCTCTCGCCTCGACGCCGCGCACGCCTGTCTTAAGAGCGTGCAGGCATTGCAGATGTGGAGCACAGGTCGTTCTCAACACGGAAGACGCCCTGCAGCTAAGGACTCGAAGTCTCAACATCTGCTGCAGCTGCGCGGAAGGACTGCGGCACAGCTCTGCAAGTGGGGATCTCGCTGGAGACGTCCTCGAGGTGCCTGGCCAGACGTGCAGGCTACTGCGGAAGCTGCAGGGCGGGGGGCGGCTCTTCGCCAAAACGAGCATATCGCGGGGCACCTCGCTGAACCTGGCCATCGCTCGGACGTCCATTCCCTGTGCTTGTGTCGGTTTCGTGCGTGGCTTTTTCGCCAAATGATCAAGGATGCTCCTCGATGGTCCTCGCCGAAGGGAAAAATGCACACGTCCGAGCGATGCCAAGGCACTGTTTGCTCATACCTATTCGGAGTCATCGCGACGCGCCCGGAGGACGCAACGCAATGCCTTGTCAAGACGGGCCTCTCGCCTGCATGGCGGGCCCATGCGGTGTCGATCTGTCCAGGGGGCGACGCCTGTAGTGAAGGGAGGATCGTAGGGGCCGGTGGAGAGGGGACTTCGGAGGGGGCAGTGTATTGCAGCATCGCTGAGGCCTATGGGGTTTACTCTTGCCCTTCTCCTACTACTCTTCCTCCCCCGTGAAATCCCTCTCATCATATTATCCCTCTCCCTCTTTCTTCTCATCCTTATGCTCTTCCAGATATATGCAGCCCCGTCCTACTCCTCTCGTCTCTTCCTCCTCCTTCTCCTCCTCCTCCTTCCCAACCTTCCTCCTCGCTCTCCTGGCCTCTTCTCCTCCTCCCCCCCCGTCGTCTGGGCCCACATCGACGTCGGGGCAGGGCATCGCGCAGCTGGACATGTTGTTGAGGTACAGGTGCTCTTGGACCTTTTTGAAGCTGGATGCGGTCCGGAGGCCCTCGTACATGCTGGGGTGCTTGCTGGCGAGGAGGCGCGGGAGGAGAAGGAGAGGCTGCAAGACTCGAAGGATGAAAAGAGAGAAGGCAGGTGAGGTAACAGGCTTCAGGCAGGGCTCGAGCTTGACGGTGTGTTCCATTCTCGTGTTGTTCTCGTTGTCCCTCGTTCTGCCGTCGTTCCGCCTATGCTGCAAACCGGAGTCAAAACGAACACGGTCCATGAAATCGCCAAAACAACGTCTGGCTCGAGCCCTGGTTTCAAGGGAGCACCCAGCTTCATGGAGTTTTACTGGGCTCTTGGGTGTTACAGGGGGCTTGGAACGGGGTGTCATTCCGGTGATCGCGAAGGCATTCTACGAAGGGGGTGGGGGAGGGACTCCAAGGACGGGGAGGCAGGAAGAGGACGAGGGGGAGGAGGAGGAGGAGGAGGAGGAGGAGGAGGAGGAGAAGGAGGAAGAATGAGGACGATGAGGATGAGGACCAGCAGGACGGGAGAGGTGGCAGCACAGCCGCTGACAGGTCGAACCAAACTCCCTACCTCGGGCCCGTGAGTAGCTCGGTGGCTGTCCGCGCAGTCCGGCCAGTGGCTCTGGCCAGACGGGGGAGGATCAATGCTGGCGCCTAGCTTATTGGCCCAGCCTATCAGACCCGGCGTGGAGATTTGTCATGTCTTTCGCTCAGGTGAAAAGAAGAGCCAGGCGAGGAAGAGAGAGAAGCGGCGGAATCGAATTATGTCCACCCCCAAGATGAGAATGTACGCCGCCGACGGGCTCCGCTCTCTGGAAGCGGTGATCCAGCCCCCAATCCAGGGCTGAAAAGCACGGTGCGCCACTAGGGGGTACTTCGTCGAACACGCTCCCACCGCATCCCAATTGACATGCTCCTTACAGCACTCGTCCCTGGACAGGAGAATGGAGGAGGAGGAGGAGGAGGAGGAGGAGGAAGAAGAATAAGGAGAGAGAGGAGGGAGAGCAGAATGAGGGAGGGAGGGACACAACTACAGGAGAGAGGAGGCAGGAGGAAGGAAGGGAGGCAGAAGGACGGAGGAGGGAGAAGGGATGAATGAGGAGGAGGAGACAGGAAGATGAGGATGAGGAGGATGAGGAGGATAAGGAGGATGAGGAGGATCAGGAGGATGAGGTGAAGGAGGAGGAAGAGGAGGAATGACCGAGGAGGAGGAGGAGGATAAGGAGACGAAGAAGGAAAACGATGAGGGAGGAGAGAGATGGGAGGAGAGAGGAGGGAGGAGGGCGAGGAGGAGGAGGTTGACGATGAGTAGCGAATCTATAGAAGAGAAAGAGAGGATGAAAGAGAGGAGGAAAGGCAGAGGATGGAACACATGAAAGAAGAGAGAGGAGAGAAGTGTAAGGGAGAGGAGAAAAGAGAGATGAGGGAAGAGAGAGGAGGGGAAAGACAAGCTAGGTGCGCAAGCGTCTTACCTGACGTCCTGCCCCTCCCCCCCATCCCTTACCATAGCGTAGATGTCCTCTCTATTCGCACAGTCGGATGTCGAGCAGGGCAATGATCCCGAGAGGGTACGACATGCATGGTAGTGCACGGCGTACCACGGCGTAGAACAGCACGGCAGAGCGTAACATGTTCGGAGGGAATCCAAACATGACGCAAGACGAACCTGTAAATTCACGGTTCGGAAGCGTAAAATGTCAGCCACCGCTGTAGCGGGAACACGGCTTGGAAGATCCACAACAAAAAAAATGAGGTCAGCGCTGCAGCTGGAGTAGGATTTGGAGGGACTGGGAGACAGAACATGGAGCCAACACTGCAGCAATAGCTCCATTCGGGCATCACGGAAAACGCTCGGATGGGAAACAACACATGTGAGCGGTCACCCTCTGGGCGCATTATGCACAACAAGCAATACGCGGACGGCGGCAGGCTGCGACCTCGGGGTCTTCGGAAGAGAGAGGAGAGTAGTCTTCAGATTGTGCAGGTGTGATAGAGAGAGGGGAAGGAAAGGAGAGCAGGAAATAATGAGGAGGGAATAGAGAGAGAGCTGGAGGAGCCGGATGAAAAAGAGGAGGAGGAGGACGAGGAGGAGGAGGAGGAGGAGGGGGGGGAGGAGGAGGAGGAGGAGGAGGAGGAGGAGGAGGAGGAGGAGGAGGAGGAGGCACGTGAGGAGGAACTGGAGGAGGAGCAGCCTGATTCCCTCGTTCATGGCGTAGGTCACCGCGGTGTAGCACGTGGTGTCCGGCTCAGCGTCCATGCACTGCTCCGTCCCCGCGCTCTGCACCGACCGAGTCTTGGCTTCGGCTCGCCGGGCCGCAACCGCAGCGCGCTCCTCCCCTGCCCCCGCCATCCCTCCTTCTGCCTCCTCCTCCTCCTTCCTCCTTTCTCCTCCCCCTCCTCCTCCCCAGCCCTCCTTCCTCAAACTCCTCACCCTCCTCCTCCTCCTCCTCCTCCTCCTCCTCTCCTCCTCCTCCTCCTTCCTCTTCCTATTCCTCCTCCTCCACCTCCTCCTCCTCCTCCCTTCCTCACCTCCTCCTCCTCCCTCCTTCTCCCTCCTCCCCTCCTCCTCCTCCCTCTCTCCTCATCCTCCTCCTCGCTCCTCCTCCTCCCCCTCACCCCGTTGTATTGGAGGGAACAGACGCTAGCATGAAAAAATGGAAACCCGTAGGCTCCGAAGTTTATGTTATGTCATGATTTGCCCCCCTTGCACAAGTGCAAGTACACGTTACGATCGCTGGTGACAGAAGTTCTGCTGGCACAACGCCCTTTAGTCAAAGCTGCCAAGCACACTCCATGTGGTACTGCATGCACCGAACTCCGAGTGGACCCCAGCGGGGTAGCTCATCCCAAAACAACCGAATGTATCCTGCGAGACGCACGACGATTAGCGAAACCCACCCGGGACTGCACTGGCACACTCGCATGATGATGCCGAGTGACCCCGTGCAGAATTCCTGAATCGACGTGTCTGCGTGGGAATTCTTTCAGTGCCCGATATGAATACTACTGTCTTCTCCTCTGACTCTGTCGGGAAGACGTTCGGCCCTGTCCGCGTACTGCTTTTACACAAGGTGTCACACGTTGGTCTTTCCTGCGGTTTGTTACAATCTGGTCTTGTTCGGTCCTTGAAAACGGTGCTGTCACTTCAGCGTGGGCCTCACTGTAGGGTCGGCGCTGTGCTCCCGTCGTTCAGAATGACACTATCGCCCCAGCGCGGGCCACTTTTCTGGATCCGAGTCCTTCCTCAGCGTTCTCGCCCACCTCATTTCCCCTCCTCCACCTTACCCCTGGTTCTCCTGCTCCTCTCGCTCCTTCCACTCTAGCTCCTGCTGCTGCTGATCCTCCTCGTCCTCCTCCTCCTCCTCCTCCTCCTCCTCCTTCCTCATCCTCTTCTTCCTCATGCTCAT